GCCGTACTTCTAGTAACAAGAAGTTACTAGGGGCTCCTGGCCTTACTTCTTGGAGGAAGGACGCTACTAGGGGCTCCTGGCCCTACTACTAGGAGCAAGAAGCTACTAGGGGCTCCTGGCCTTACTACTAGGAGCAAGAAGGCTTTGTAGGGACCTGAGGGACCTGAACTTCCTGGCACGCGCGCAGCGCGCCAAAATCTTGGTAGCCAACCGCAGGCAGATCAGCCGCACAACGACCCTGGTAGTGGAGGCGGGCGGGGGGAAAAATAGGGGAAATGGGGGATCTGGGATCTCGTTGAATTTTCTTGGCTCTTGAACATTTGTGTTGAGCCTTTGTCATTTTCTGGGGCCTTGTTATGCGTGTTTTAGGGGCATAACTTTCACTTCATTGTTTGGATTGAATGAAGGGGATAATTGTTGAGGAGGTCAGAGTTTCTATGTGTAGGTTCAGGTTCAAATTCTACCAAGTTGTTCTTCAAAGATGTCGAAATATTTGTTTCAAATTCATGTGTTGATTGAGGTTTGGCGCTGTGGTTCCTGTTTGGTTTTGCATATCACGCATCCTTCAATCCAAAGCCAGTTTGGCACAAATTGACTGAACCGATGTATTGTCCTTTTTCTTTGACATTCTGCAGATGCATCTTTGTGACGCAGGTTCAGCTTGCGCCAGGCCGCTTCGTCCTTCCAAGCGGCCATGCACGAACGCAACCCGCGAGGGCTTTTCCGGCGCAGACCATCAAAACTGGTTGAACTTTCTTGAGCACAGGGAGCGTCGTAGTGCTGGTTCTCCAAGCTCTCATTCAAAGGTTCCTTCCTGGCTTCTTCATGAACAGGGCAGTGAGGAAGGCTGGGCAAAGGCTGGAAAGGACAGAGCCCGCCCCTGCACGGCCGCTCGAGGAGGAATCAACTCACCTCAACGTAAAGCTTTGAGCACACCTTCATTCTTGGTGGTCAGTGGTTCCCAAGGCGAACAATCTCATGCGTGAGCATGTGAAGAATGGCAAAAGGGTGCTGCCGCTCAAGATGTCAAGCCGTCCTGGTGAGGACTTGAAGCTCAATGAAGCGCAGCCCAAAGTATTGCAAGCAGCAAATCTGCCGCGACACTACCCAGAACAAGTGGAGTATATGCCATGGTATATGCTGGAAAAGGTGAATGAGACTTCCAAGTGCCGAACAGGCAGTGCCGTCGTGTTATACCTGCAACTCACAACCAAAAGCCGCGGAGACAAATTTAGTAGGGATGCCTGTGACCCTCGGTGCCTTGGCTCGCAACATCACCTACGACAATGCCGCGCGCAAGTTCATTTTGGAGGTCAGCCTGTCTGCCGTGGCCGACATCATCAAAGAAAGGTTTAACATGTCAGATTTGGTGGCGGTGCGACCGCTGCCTTTCGAAGACTTTGTCCCTGTGGTCAAGGAGGTGGCAAAGCGGAAACGACTTCCGGACGCTGAAGAAGGTTCTTGCCGACGATGAGATAGAGGAGGTGTTGAAGCACTACTGCGTCCGCACAGGGGGCGGATGTGACTTGGGCGAGATACTGCGAAACGTCTCCAGGGCAGGTCAGAGAGGCGCGGATGCGGTCATCAAGCGGGTTGAGCAGTGGTACCAGCAGAGGGTGGAAACAATTGAAAAGAAATGGATTGACCAGGGAGTGAAGGACTATCTCCTCAAGGTGGCAGAGTCAGGACCCATGGGGTATCTCCCGGAGGGCAAGCAGGAGACCAAATTGACTATGAGGCTTCTTCGTGAGGAGCCCGCAGACTGCGTCCTGAGGAGAGCCACCAGTGATAGTGTGGCTTTGAAGCTTTGGCATTTCGTCGCCAAGCTCTTTCAAGAGGATGAGCAGAAGTTGAGGGATGCAGGATACATGTGAGCTTTGCCGGTGAAAAGAACTGTGGCGCTTGAGATGGTTTGTGGGTGAGTCATCCAAGAGTAAGTTTCACACATTGCATGCATAACCGCAGATACCCAACCCTAGTATCAATGATACGCAGATACCAGTATCCAAGTATCAACGATACCCACAACCTATGTATCAATGAAACAACATCCAAGCATCAACGATACCCAAAACCAAGTATCAATGATACCCAGAACCGAATATCGAGAGACGGGAAACTTCAGAGTTTGATTTCTATATAAGCCAGAACTTGGAGAGTGGCTTAACCTAAGAAACTCCAGAGTTTGACACCTCATTCTACTAGAGACACTAATGCTGTCAAGATATGTTTTCTAGACCTTTCTTACTTTCCTTTCTTTCCTTTCTCTTCTTCGGGTCAAAGCTGACGAGTGTTTTCTTTACCTTTTCACTCTCGGAAAAGGAACTTCATAGGCAAATATTTCACACCGGTCTCGGACTTTACCCTGAACAGAAAGAACTAGTAGCAAGGACGCTACTAGGGGCTCCTGGCATCGCTGAAAGGAGCATTCCTACTATTAGGAACAAGAAGCTACTAGTAGCTCTTGGCATTGCTACTTGTAGCAAGAAGCTACTAGCTGGAGCCCATCGCTACTAGAGGCCATTGCTAGTAGGTTGAAGTCGTGAAACGCGTCGAGTCTGGTGAAGTGTCGAGAACTTCAGGAGCTGCGGCACCAAGAGGTAGTGCAGATCGAAGCTGCGGGCGTCGCGTCCTTCGTGGTGGGCTCTCGTGGCCAGGTGCAGCACCGGTTCCCTCAGCGATGGCTTGAGACGGTGTCGGTGTTGACTGGCAACAAGCATTTGTTACTAGTAGCGATGCACTTGTTACTAGTGGCGGTGCGCTTGCTACTAATAGCCCATCCGCTCCACACCATCCTAATGATCCTAACACTGCCTAACACATGAGAGAACATGTTTTCTTGGAAACAAGGATGCGAATTCAAGAGAGCGATGCGTAAAGTAGCTAGCAGCGGCTAGTTGCCTAGTTAATCAAGTAAGGAGCAAGGTGCACAGGCTAGAAAAAAACAAAGAAAACAACAAAGGAAAGTATGTCTTAAAGATCTTAATTGTTGGTCTCGAACTGTTGCGGGGGATTTCCAGCTTTGTATCACGTCATGACAAAGTGATACATGTTTGGGCACATGTTCATGACAAACTGAACACGCAAAGAAAAGACTAAACAAGCCTACTAGCAATGGACGGCACGTGTAACATGTCATGCAAGAAACCACATTAACGCGGTGGGCGGTGTCACAATATCGAATTACGCACGGAGTCAGATGCATGCGGAGGACGTGGACAGTGAGCGAAAACAGGCATTGAAGTATTAGCATTCAAGGAGCACTCATGAATTTAGGTCGAAAACGTGCATTGGGTTGGAGGCCATTGCTAGTAGGTTGGAGGTCATGGCCAGTAGGTACAAAAAGCATTACGGTCGCGATTGTTGCTTGTTCGACTTGAACAGAGGAGCAAAATCTGAAACTTAACACCCCAATTGCCGTCGCTCTTAGGTTGGAGGCTAGGTGAGAAAGCCTTGCGAAACGCTGAAGCACTCGCTTCCAGGTTTGGGCCTTTGGTTCCAATCGCTCCATGGAGCTGGGCGGTCGAAAGGAAGTGGCGCAGATCGCCAGCGCGCAACGGATGAAGAGCGTCCGAGACGTCCACGTGGTCCAGGCGAGGGACGAGAGAGGGACCACGTGGATCCAATGGAAGCGGTCGTTCGCCCGAAATGTTCTAGGAGCAAAGTGCATCGCTACTAGGAACAAGGTTCGCTACTAGGGGCTCCTGGCCGTACTACTAGTAGCAAGAAGCTACTAGGAGCAAAGTGCATCGCTAGTAGTAACAAGAAGCTATTAGAATTAAAATTAGTAGCTTCTTGTTCCTAGTAGTAAGGCCCTTGCTCCTAGTAGCGATGCCCTTTGCTCCTAGTAGCGTTCTCTTGTTCCGTTCGTAGTAAGGCCAGGAGCCCCATTCGTAGCGTCCCATCGCTCCTAGTTTTTTTGGCTCTGCCATATAGTAGAAAAGGCAAGGGTAGTGAAATGCACGAGCAACAGCGAAACAGAAAACGATCAAAGGGCCCATGCTCAGGATTCTAAAGGAAAAAGAGTAATTGCAGGAAAAGAAAGAAGATACTAGAAGATGCGAACCATATTTGTTCTTTGTCGTCGTAGCATCCGATCAAAGGGTTGTAATAAGGAAGAATGCGTTCTGGTTAGCGGTTTCTTCACCGGTTTCCATCCAGATGTGGTCTTCAGGTCTTGGAGTGTTTTCGGGATCCGACTGGAAAACTGTGTGAGCGATATCTTGTGCCAATTCGACCATGATATGTCTAGAAATGAGCTGATCAAGTGACAAGACTCAATACAACAGGCTTCAGTTGGAGCGAATGAATTCTTCAGGAGGTGCGTTGATTTTGTTTGCTTTCCTTTCAGAGCGGCATTCTGCAGCGAAGGTGTCGAGCGCAAATTCGACCTCTGGCCAATCGCACACACTTGTTCTTGGAGCCAATGGCGAGGTGCTGTGTGATTGACATAGTGTCTCTCTTTTGGCTGCCACATTGTGTGATACTCTGACAAAGGCCGCTTGCTATGCCAATGACCATTATGTTTAACCTAAAGAACGGACAAGTAAACTATAATTTGTCAATGCCCAATCTCTTGCATTCTCTGGTTTTGAGATCAGCGGCTTAAGCTTTGTCAAAGATGTGGCAGAGGGTGTCTTAAAACACACGTTAAGGAGTTTGTTGGTTTCTACTTAGAGGCCCTCCGTTTGTAGTAGCATGTTTGTAGAAAGTGTGTCTTTCCAGGCCATCGCTAGTAGGTTCGACGCTAGTAGGTTGGAGGCCATCGCTATTGGGTGGAGGCCAGCGCTAGCCATCGCTAGTAGGTTGGAGGCCATCGCTAGTGGGTTGGAGGCCATCGCTTTTAGTCTTTTTGACATGTAAACCGTAAACCTATGAACTCATTCGATTCTTTTGTCTATTCGTTCTTTCCTTCAGACCCTTTTTCCTTTTGTCTTTCCTAGTATCTGTTGGTTGCTTTCTCTTCTAGAAAGATACCAGGAGCAAGAACGCTACTAGGCGCTCCTGGCATCGCTACTAGTAACAAGAAGCTACTAGGGGCTCCTGGCCGTACTACTAGGAACAAGGACGCTACTAGAGGCTCCATTTAAAGCAGAAAGCTCTTTGAAGGCACAGTTTGCTGCTGAAAGCTCTACCGGTAGAGCACAGTTTGTTTCTGCTTTTCATATCTCGAAGGTGCACAGCTTTGGTGCGTCCAATTGCGGCGCGTTGGGGCAAGGACCTGACGTCGCTTGGACGACGTCGGCAGATCGAAGTCGCAGAAGAAAGGCTTCCTCTTTGGGGATTTGGATTTAGGGTTTAGGGTTGGGGAGTTGGGATTTGGATAGCTAATTTGTTGAGTTTGGAGATGCTAGGATGGCTGGTACATGTTGCTTTCATCTTGTTTCGAGCGTATCAGCACATGTTTTTGTTCAGCACAGGAAAGCTTGAGAATTTTCTGAGGTGAAACAGTCTGCTCCTTTGCTGCTGTGACACTGGCCAGATTTAACGTCGCTGAAAAGCATGAGGGAGCATAACAAAGGTTGCTTCCATTGGAAAGAGCTCACAAGGAAAGTAAATAGACAATTCAATTTTTAAACAAAGATGAAAAGAACAATCAGATGGTGGCCTTCAACCTACTAGCGATGGCCTCCAACCTGCTGTATGAACAAAAATGAAAAGAATAATATTGCAGGATGGACTTTGATAAAGTTTACAGTTGATCTCGTTTAGCTTCTCCCAGCGAGCGAAAATAGATCTCGCCAGGCGCTTCAGCGCGCAAGTGCCAGTGAAGATGGTCGCGACAGGAGCAAGGCCTAAGGGGAACTTGTTCTTTTAGCTATTAGGTTGGAGGCCATCGCTAGTAGATTCTTTTTGCAAGGAATATGCGGTCGCCAGCGGTTACCCTTTCCTTGGTCAGCGAAGCACGGGTGATTAAATCTGAAGCAAAACACTGAAGCAACATAGTTTAAAGCAGAAAGCTCTTTGAAGAACGCTACTAGGGGCTCCTGGCATCGCTACTAGTAACAAGAAGCTACTAGGGGCTCCTGGCCGTACTACTAGGAACAAGGACGCTACTAGAGGCTCCATTTAAAGCAGAAAGCTCTTTGAAGGCACAGTTTGCTGCTGACTGACACCGGCCGTTTGTTTGCAATGGGCGACAACACGTGCCGAGCTCAGCATCTTTCGTTCCAGAACATCGAAACGAATTCCAAGCACACAGGGACGTTGCACAGATTTTAGGAAGTGTAGGAACCTGGGACGGGGAGAAAAGTTTGCCGTGTGCAGATGCAGAATTGATCAGAATTGAATATTTGTTGAGGAGAAAATTGCTGTGAAGTTTTGGTGAAACTTGTTCGAGGCATGGGCAATTGGGCATGGAGTCAAGGGTGGCTGGCTCCTTCGTTGACACGCCATTCGGCCTCAGAGCTTCGTTGACGCGTCGGAGAGGATGACGCGGAGAAGTCTTTGGTTTCACGAGTCGTGGCATTTACTTTGTTCTGGAAAGAGGGGAGATGAAGTTTGGACCATGAAGAACCTATTAGCTTTTTTAGTGCAAACGTTTGGACCGAAAAGGGAGAAGAAGAATCAACATCTTTGATGTCACAAACCTAACCACCAGGCCTTAGGTTCACAAATTTGATGTCTTGTTGACAAAAACGATGTTTGTTGACGTGTCTTGTGTTGTTCCCTTTGACTTTGCTTCGATCCTGTCCTTTTCCTTTCCTTCCTGGTTTCCTTTTGATTTTTCTAGAAAAAGCTTCTGTTTGGTCTCAAAGCACGTCAATTGTTTGTTCCATTTAGTCTGGCTCCCCCATACTGCCACATACCTCAGATACACACTAAGATCAAGAATCTGTAGGACAGCTCTTGAAGTCTCAGGGGCTCCTTGGAAGTAGACCTAAGACCTGGTCATGTAGAGAAATGCTTCAGTCTCCTTGTTTTCGTGGATGTCAGGACCGTGTTGGAAAGTGCTCCTTGAGGACCACGCGGTAGGTGTAGAGTGTAGAGGACAAAGGAAGAATCCTTGTTCCCTTACGACCTCCAACCGACGTCCTAAGGACGCTACTAGTAGCAAAGGGCATTTCTTACTTCCTTGTTCTGCCTTGCTCTTCCTCGTTTTTTTTTAAAGTAAGCAGTAAGCAGTGGTAAGATGTGGTAAGAACGCTACCAGGGTGGAGGGCCATCGCTCCTAGTAGCTTCTTTTTCCTAGTAGCAAGGCCAGGAGTGCCCCTAGTTGCTCCTAGTAGCGATGCCCTTTGTTACTAGCAGCGATGCCCTTGCTCTTAGTAGCAAAACAGTGTTTGTCCGAAAAAAAGGACTCGCATTTCTTTAGCGTTAGAGACACCCATTTCACGCATTCCATCGTGGGGAAGACCTGAAGGCCAAGATCGGTGGAAGGGCCGCTTGGTGATGAAGAGGCGGGTGGCGGACGGTGGCGAGTGGCCGCAGCATTGACATCATGACAGGTATGTGTTTCATTGTTTGGCCGTATTCTTCAAAGGAAATGAGCTCAAAGAAAAGAAAAAAATACATTCAACTAAAAGTTATTTCAAGAAGATAAGAGTTCATGTCTCTCTTTGTTCTTTTTTTTCATGGGTACGCAGGACCAAGAAATCCAAGGCTTTAAGGTGTGCCAAATGACAGAAGTAACAAAGAAGCTACTAGGAACAAGTGCATCGCTACTAGTAACAAGTGCCTTACTAGTAGTAACAATAAGCTACGAACGGACCAAGGGAATCGCTACGAACGGAGCGATCGGGCATCAGTTTCTCGAAGGTCCAGGTGAAACTGATTGCTGCTGGCGATAGCTTCACCATGGCAGTCACCGAGGACTGGCAGTTACCAGGACTCGGACAAACCTCCCTAGCGGACCGGAAATGGTCAAAGGATCAGAAGTGCGTCTCTTCTCTGAAAAGAAATGGCCAAAGGGAACCTAGTAGCCTCCAACCTACTTGCTTAGAATGGACTTCAAAAGCCTCAAAGCCAACCTACTTGCTTAAGAATGGACTTCAAAAGCCTCAAAGGAAGGCTCCTCAAAGAGGTCTTGGAACTTTTTGCGCTCCAGGAGGATCAGCTTTTTACTTGGGGTGCCAATGCGAACGGGCAATTGGGGTCTTGAGCTCAGCGTGAGCATGAGCGTCCTTGTTCCGTTCGTAGCGTCCGATCGCTCCTAGTAGTAAGGCCAGGAGGGCCCCTAGTAGCGGCCTTGCTCCTAGTAGCTTCTTGTTACTAATGTTTCATGTGTTTCGTGCTTATATTTTGTTTGTCTTTAGACCTTTCTCTCCACAGACTCTTCAAAGTCTCGACAAGGGGTTTCCCCTGTTGGGTTTCCGCTCTGAAGTTGAAGTGTCCACACTGCCAACATGATTCAGCGCTTGCTGGAGCTCATCCTAGTATCCCATGAGTTTGAAGAAGCTTGTCAGGCTGGGGAAGCTTCAGGATCAACTGGTACCACAGCCAGTTCCACAGCTGAGAAGCTCGGACACAACTTCATCAATTTGTCCTTCGCACATTCAACTTGCTTTCGCTTTTTCCAATCTGTTTCCTTTCAAACGGCATTGTTTGAGAACTGTCCATCTATCAGGAGAGAGAATTGTGTGTTTTTTACCGTTTTTTTACGCTGTTGCGTCAACTCAATGAAGTGTTCCTTGGAAATTGCAGGCCTGCAAACCTGATAGTTCGTCCGATACTTGTAGGTAGGGTGAGGGGTGTGTGATGGTGTGGCTCCTTTGTTAGAAAGAATCAAATTTGGGTTGGAGGCCATCGCTATTGGACCAAAAAAATCAGGAAAAGGAGAAGGATGCTATGGTTTCTGTGGAGTTTTATATAGATAAGCCGAAGTGAGACTGAGCATAAAAGCTGAAGGTGGCCTTCGGATTGGTGCGATTGCTTGTGGAGCTTGTCATGCCTTGGCCCGGGATCCACACAGCGAACCTTTTTTCGCATGCATGCGGGACCCACACCACCCCTGTTTCGGTTGGTAGCTCACATGTCGTTTAACATAAACTATTCAGCACAAGTAGCTCACATGTCGTTTTTGTGACCCCAAGACTATTGGTTTGGGCCTTTCTACCAGGAGCAAGGACGCTACGAACGGGGCTCCTGGCCTTACTACTAGGAGCAAGAACGCTACTAGTAACAAAGGGCACACGGGTTTTGGCATTTGATGGGGGGGTTGATTTCATCGATTTCGGTGACTGATCTGGAGACTTCAGTCTCTCCAGGCCATCACCAACGATGGAGCAAAGGCGGGGCATATGGAGCTGTTGCTTTTTGTTGAAAAAGACGAGAGGTGTTTTAGGGAACTAATAGCAATGGCCTCCAACCTAGAAGCGATGGCCTGCAACCTAGAAGACAAGTTGATCTTGATTCGTTGATCTCTTTCTTTTTGGTGCTGTACGTATACGATCCGTATACAACATATAGTGACAGTATTCTATTCGGTTTTTTACATAATACGAAGAATATTGTCAAGAACAAGTGCAACTGGACATTCCAGACCAAGTATACGGAAGAACTGTTCCGGCTCCACGTGGAACCGAAAACTAGAAGCCACTGTCCTTCCAAGTGCTGCAAGATGGTGCAACGCATTTAAGTGAAAGAGCAGAAGGTACAAACAAACCTACTAGAAACTAGGCAAACTTATGGCCTCCAACCTACGAGCGATGGCCTCCACCCTACTGTAGTAGCGATGGCCTTCAACCTAAGAGCGACGGCACAACGCGTTCTGGTAAAGCAAGCCAAGAATGAGAGCTTTCTACTAGGAGCAAAGGGTATCGCTACTAGGAGCAAGGACGCTACGAACGGGGCGCTCCTGGCCTTACTAGTAGTAGCAAGGTTCGCTACTAGGGGCTCCTCGCATCGCTACTAGTATGAAAGCATTCTTCTTGCCGATACGGGAAGAAGTCCAAGCCCGGCCTTACGGAGTACGCCTTTGGTTCGACAGAGATTTTATCAAAAGAAAAGGTCCTAGTAGATTCCTTTGCTAATTACAATTCTAATTAAATTCTTATTGTTACTAGTAGTAAGGCACTTGTTTCTAATGGCTTCTTGTTACTACTAGTAAGGCACCTGTTAATACTAGCGTGGCACTTGTTCCTAGTAGCTTCCTTGTAACCTTTCGAAAAAAAGTCCTCGAGGTTGTTCTTCTTTGGGGTGTGGACCTCGTTCTTCTAAGATGGGACAGCTAGGCTAAAGCGACCATCGTGAGCGACTGACCGAGTGGCGACCGACCGGGGAAACAGACGAAACCTAAAAATGGTACTGCATCGCTTCTTTGTTCCTAGTAGCTTCTTGTTACTAGTAGTAAGGCCAGGAGCCCCTAGTAGCGTCCTTGCTCCTAGTAGCAACGCCCTTGTTACTAGTAGCTTCTTGTGCCTAAATGGATCGTGTTAGGGGACAGAAGCCATCGCGATTAGGTTGGAGGCCATTGCTGTAACTCAAAAGAAGATCGTTCACACAACACCGAAGCTGCAATCTGCAGAAAGCCACCAAAGTCAAGCTGGTAAACGAGCTTCATCATATTTTTGAACAGAGATCTGTGAATTTCTATGCCAGAAACTTGGAATGTTCTATCGAAGCTTGGGCCGGCCGCTGCTGCTGCGACAGGTCTGGGCTTGGGGAAGCAACGTCCATGGCCAGTTGGGTGTGGGTGTTGACAGCTCCAATGCTCAACGAGTGAAGCCCTCCTTGATCCCGGTGCGCGACTGAGTACGGAACACAGACGTACTCACCGTACGGACCGATCCTTCACAAGGGAAGAGCAATGGAGCAGTTGCAGGAACGGATTCGGAACACTATAAAAGGAAAGGTTCCGTAAACTGCATGTGTTCAATCGCTGCATTTTCCACTGCAGGCTTTGAGCAATCGACGAGACGTGGTGATGTGCCAGGTGGGACCATTCGGCCCAGATCAACACACACCTGCTACTAGGAGCAAAGGGCATCGCTACTAGGAACAAGGACGCTACGAGGTGGAGGCCATTGCTACTAGCAACAAGAAGCTACTAGTATCAAGGGTTTTCTGATCACATGGACAGAAAGAAACAACTCTTTGACTTGTGTTGTGCAAGTCAGCGTTCTGATCGAGCACAAGCTTTCTTCACCCATCACTAACGAATAGTGCCGATGGTGTCCAAGGTCACAGCTGCATCCAATCACTCTTTGGTCTTGTTCTTGGATGAGTCCTTTTTCAACAGAAGAGTGAGTAAAGACAGAAACGTCGAAGGAAAATAATGTAGGGTCTAAAGTCTAAAGAAGAGAGAAGGCAGGTCGAAAGAAAAGACGAAAGACAAGAGGAACCAAGGTCTGAAGAGAAAACGAAGAAAGGAAGAGGGAAGATGGGGCCCGCGTAAAAGCACAAGCAAAGGAACCAAGCATCACCCTTTAGTATGGTCCCGGACAATCGGTTGCACCTTCGATAGCAAGTCTTGTTCAATCGTCAAGGGACAGACTCACGGAAGGAAAGGAACGCGACGTGTTCAACGTGTCGCCTAGACAAAACAGAGACAGGAAAGATCGTTGTCTTTATAAGAAGCTGCTAGGAGCAAAGGGCATCGCTACTAGGAGCAAGGACGCTACTAGGGG